ACTTATGATGGAAGAGACTGAACCTAGCCCAAGGATCAAACTGAGTAGAGCGCTCCACTTTTTCTTTGTCACTGATATTCCTTTTACTGTGACATCCAAATTTATACTATCCCTCTTGGTTTTTTTTTCCTGACACCTTCTTCTCGCTGCAGGGGAAGGAACATAAATCTCTGCATATTCTGGTATTAATAGATATTAATAAGGTCTAAGGACAATGAATTAACTACCTCTGATTCATTCCAAAGGTGAATTTGAGCTTTTTTTTTACCTGTATTCCCAAACATTAGACTTATTCTCCCAACAGGCACACTTCATACCCTGCAGCGGACTACCTTCAGCCCACCAGTTGGCCAAACTGTTCCTGAAGCACACCTACTGCCTGCATGGAATACCATGAACAATTATCTCAGATAGATGGGTCCAGTTCTGAAGGGAGTTCCTGCGGTCCATTGGGTGATCTCAGGGCCTTAGCTCAGCCATTCATCCGAGCACCAATGGGGGGAGCACCAAAAAGTTTGCAGTATTGTGGCTTAAGGTAAAGTCCTTCAAAATATTCTGTATATCTAACATCCTAACTAAATATAACTTCTATGATGAAAAATTCCCACACATAGCCTGTGACTCATTAGTAACACCTACAACATCAGTAATCAAAACACCTTGGAAAATGTGGTCCTGTATTGAAAAGACTTTGAAGAACAGCTATTTGTTTTATTGTAACCTCTTAACAAACTGAGTATTTTTTTCCAATCTTAAAAGAACAGAATACTTATCAAGTTTTATTAATGTTACCATTCATTTTCAGATATACATTCTTTCTTCAAATTCAGAGATCAACCTCACTGACAGTATCAATACATTAGAAATTTGTATCACCCTTTCCCCAGCATCTTTTAAATAATGGTTGAGCATGTGAGAGAAAGAAAGAGAGGGAAGAAAGGTCCAGAAAATAGAGCCTAGTATTTCATGTAGCAAAAAGATTCTTCCAAGAAAAGTTTCTTGAAGTGAGATCACAGACCATATTGAATTTGCATACTGTAGGTATATTGCCCAACGTAGTCAGTTCCTATAAACAACCCTTGTGGTTGTGGTAGATATATTTCATTGATAAGCCACTGAATGTCATATAATCACATTTATAATGTCATTATAATAAAAAAAACATAACTTATTTACAGGAACATTGGACAATATTGGAATATCATCTTTCTTCCTAACACATCATAAGTTGTTTTTGAAAATCAATTTACTTTCATCATTGGACAGCCATGCAGGATGCAAAAATAAAAATAAAAATAAAAATGGAGCATTTAGGAAATAGAAACTCACAGAAAATGGAAGCCCACAAGCAACAGTTCTACAATTGTAATTTCTTCCAGAAAACAGTCTTGGAATTGTTTTTCTCTTTTTACAGATGAGTAATATAGTCAAGAACGTCTAAACAGCCTTCCTCCAGCTGGGTGTCCTTCAAATGCTTTAGGACCAAAATTTTTCCCACTGCCCCACAGCTGGGAATTCTCAGAGATGTAATTCTAGCACATCTAGAGAACACCAGAATAGAGAAAGCTGCTCTTGAGAAAGAGAAAAAAATAATAATAAATATCTAATGAAAATAAAAAAACTTTAAAACTGACCTTTATACAGTGCCATGGACAAAGAATGATAGTTTAGGCATTATTCTTTTAATAGAAATCTGGAGTTTCCTATATAAATAGCTCAAAGTAAGATGCTAATCTTTCCTTATAAATATCTTCTAACACTGAACCAGAATTTTAAACAGATTTCAGACTTCAAGATAAACAGTTTGAATGGAATGTTGAACTTGAAAGAGAAGTTGTATGTTGGGAATAGAAGCAATCAAATCTTCCGATTACCAATGGGGAGTTTGAATGCTCTTTTCCAACCAGAGCCTCTCAGATGTAGAAAATTTAATGCTCATTCTTTCCAGCTGGCATGATCACCAATAGTTTTGAAGGGTACTAGTTTGAAGAAAGCTGAGCTATGGCTTTTCAATGTGAAATCTTCATATAAACCTTAACTGAGCAGGATTATATACAAGTAAAATTATTATTAACAATAGGTTCCAGTCACATGCTCTGAAGTTAGTAAGTATCGCCACCCAAAATTCCTTTTGACATGTGTACTACAAGATTATTAGGATCTAGGAACCTTGATCATTCTACAATTAAGTCCAAAACATTTATGTATGAATGTTAATTCTCATCAAATGGAAGAACGATCGAGAGTAACTTTCCCAAATCTGATGTTTTCCAAACGAAACATACTTCAACTCCCATCAGTGATTCTGCTAGTAATTGTAGCCCCAAAGGAAACATCCCATCCCTTCATACTGAATTCCATTTTTTAGATACCAATAGTCTCAATTTCCATCAGAAAGAGAAAGAAAGAAATAGAATTATTGCCAGGGTATGAAAAAGATGAAATAAGAAGTATCCTAATTGGTACTTGGAAAAAGATTTGAAAATGTGTGACAACAAAGAAATATAATTCATATATTTTGTGATCATGCCCAATCATAATTCAATAATAGACAAGGAGTTCTAGCTACATAAATTGAAGCACTTCTCAACAGGGATTTGTTTAGTCTCAACATGTACTGAGTGTCTTAAGGGGGCATTGGCTTTTGTTACTCCTTATAGCAAGGAGAGGCAATCTGCATTCCCAGCTCCACATTCATGCTAAACCATAGTGTACTTTGTATGATTTAAGCTTCATGTGTTGCAGGACGCCAGCTACTGTACTTTGTAAACCAAGCTTGTTGCTCAACATCCTATGCAAACCAAGGATTTGCGGCTCATTTAACAAACTAGGGCAAAATCATAGCTTGGGTGACAGACAGTACATAATCTATTGGTAACCAACCCTTTTTAGCCATGACTGAAGAGTTTTGTCTTTTTCTCTCTTTTTAGGACCAGATGGTGGTGATATGTGACAATTACTTGAAAAGATGGATCAAATTTTATAGCTATTTTATCTGTTTTTGGGGACTTTGGGAGCACTGAAATTATCAAAGGCTCACACCTCTTTAGGCATTGTTTTCTTTTAGAAGATCCCCACAAACGTAGCACTGAAAAAATCTGCAAATGTGTCACGCATTCTAGGTGCACAGTTGAGAGTTGTAAAAGACTGCAAAAAATAAGATGGGGACACAAGCAGTCTGTTGGTCACACCTGCTGTGGACCAAAGCATTCTTCCTCACTTTAATGACATGAATATTAACGTGAAAAAGTAATGTTCTGTGAAGAGCATACAGAGATTACTCCATTCCTATTGCAATACCGTTTTCAGCTTCACGTTTCTTCTAGTTGCTCCAAGAAACAATCCAGGCAACAAAATTCAAAACATGCAAAATTATAAAAAGCTATCAAAACCTTCGTTAGAGAAGCCAATACGTGATTCTGAGAGTTATAGCTAAAGAATAGATTTCTTTAGCAATCAGCACCCAGGTCAGCACAGATTAACTCCAAAATTAACATCAGACCAACAATCAAATAAACAATACCCCGATCAAGAAATTGCCAAAGAAGCCAACAGTAAACAGCCCAACCAAAGAATCCCTAAGACCGCCCCCATCAACACTGACAGGGCAAGACACCAGAATATAAACTGACAGCAAACAGCAAACTCCTTACTAGCACTGATGATCTTACCTAGTTTCAATAATGAAATACCTGCAAGAAAACTAGCAAGCTCAGAGACCACCAAGAACCCCTCAGAATAGATTTTGCTAGAAACAAAATAAGTGCAATAATCTGGCAGTCAGTTCAGCAATGGATAAATTCATCTATACATTCGAATCACACTGATTCTGTCCAGTTCACAATTACAATGCAGTTAATAGATTTTTCTATTGAAAAAGCAGGGGTTTCCCCCCCCCCCTTTTCATAGCAGTTATCTGAAAACAAGCTGCCTGGAATTCATGTTTGCTCTACATCTCTTCCTCCATCTATATTTGATGGAGAGGTAGATCTAATAATATCCTCTTTAAAAGGTTTTGCAATTGCAATATGAGACACTGTTCCTCTATGCCCACCTAACATGGTAGAGGGGAAGAAAAGGATGTTATCATTTCATCGTTTAAGAGTAAGTCAGATAAATATTTTTTTCAATTTTTTTCATGCTCTTCACATAAATTAAATCTTCCAGAGAGCTGACGAAGGGAACAAAGTGTCCTTTGAAAGCGACAAAAAAAGTAAATGCCGTTTTGGCAGCCCTGCTGCTTTTCCTTCCTGTTTCCTGGAGTAGCATTCGCTTCACTCAATTTAATATCAGAAGTAGTTTGACTGTAATGGAACAAGATTTCATGTCTAATTCCTATTGCTACTATTGCTACTATTTAAGGGTATCAAATCTGGTCTTTATCTCCAGGAGTTTGAGAGGAAGGGTTAGGAATCTTGCATTACAAAACTGCAACATTATCCAAAAAAAAAAAAAAAGGAAAGAGTGAGGGGAGGGAGGGTACAATTCAGATCTTACCAGGTATGTGCCACAGTGAACCGGCGCTGTTTTGGTATGTTGCTACTCAAAAGCATCCTGCGCAACAGCCTTGGCGAATTTCTGGGAGAAATGATGGGTGACAATTTCGGTGAAATTGATGAAGATTTCTGGGATATCTTGAGCTTTTCATGCTGCAACAGGTTTTCCTTCAGGGTTTTCACAAGATCCTCGTTAAGCCATGGATTTTGACAGTGTGTATTGTCAACTTCAGGTACAATCAAGGTGTCTGGGCTTGTTGTTTGCTGAGCCATGTTTCCAAAGCAACTTATATTAACGAAATCTCTATAAATGCAACGTGATATTTGTTTTGGCTGCCTTGGAAAGGGAAAAAAAAAAATCCTTTGCTCATTCAGTCTTGAGGAACTGTGCCAAGCTGCACCTCTGATTCAGCCTGTTCGGCTTGTAACATGGTGCTGCCTGCTTTCAATATTGAATTGCAAAGAAGAGGAAGGGAAGAAGAAAAACAAGCAAACTCCTCCACCGAACCTATCAGGCATTGCTTCTCCATGACAAGTCCATGCTGCCAAACAGCCTTCACTCTTGCCGGCTAGGTAAGTGAACACGGAGCGAAGGGACAATGCACCGAGTCGCAGTCCTGTGGCAGCGCCTGTCAAAACTACTGGAACTAATATGCTGCAGCTGCTTGAGTGACTCCTGAATATGTATACAAAAAAGTGCCAGGAGGAGGGCTAAAATCTTGGCATGATTGCCTGATTGGGCTCTCTTTTCCAATCTGTGAGTTTCTCGTTCTGGAGAAGGGAGGGGAGCTGATGTCAGGCATGTCCTTCCCCTTTTCTTTCTCTATGAACTACCGTCCCTGCTGCAAGAAGAGCACCTAACCTTGCATTACATATTTTGAACAAATAGTTCTTAATACATGTTGCACAGGATTGCTGGGTTGTTGTGAATTCTTGGATTAGAATTGCAGTTTTTCTCACATTCCTTCCAAGTGTACAGCGGAGGGAATTTTGTGTTAAAGGAGTTGCACAGCCACCTGGGAAGGAGATTGGGGGGGTGATGAGGGGGGGATCAGGAACTACAGTATCATTGTCCTCTGTACTATGCCAAACATGATGTACTTTAGGAACCTTTTAAAAACTTTTTCAGAATATCTTGGTCTTCCCTAATGATTAAATCACCATATATTTTCTTTTGTGGATTGGCTTAATTCTGTTATGGTTTGGGATTTTCAAACAAGAACCAGTATAAAAACATAATGTACAAAAAAAAAATGAGAAAAGCAGAATGAAAATGGAAAATGAAAAGTGTATTTCAAAACTGTGAATAAAGCAATCAAAATGTTCCAGGTATTACAGTAATTTCTGCCCACCTCCCAGGATGTTTTGTTATGTGAATGAATTGCTAGCTTGGAAGTTATCCATTGCCTTTTCACACAGCCACAAACTGCTTGGAGGAATACCGTGTTTCCCCGATAATAAGACCCTGTCTTATATTTTTTTTGAACCCTGAAATAAGCTCTTGGCCTTATTGCCATGCACTCAAAAGCCCGATTGGGCTTATTATCAGGGGATGTCTTATTTTGGGGGAAACAGGGTATTATGCCTATGCTCAAACTCAAACTGCAGTTTGTCTTAACTATGGCTTAAAAGAGAAGCACACATCCTGAGCGCCAAGAAGTAATCTTAATTTATTTTCAGGCAAACTGTCAAGTTCTGCATACTTTGCAAATTTCCTCCATTTTATTTTTAGATTGGTTTAACCACTTTCACTCCCGGCTGTATCTCCAATGCTGAAATGCAGATCTCAATAAGTTTTAATCAGAATCATTCAAGTTTCAACCAGACAAAAAGGTTAGGGAAACATTCCAAGTTCAAATTGTGATTTCTAAGCTATCTTGTTTTCATAAACCATAGTTAATATTAAGCACAGATCTATGCATGAGCATAACAGATTGCTGTACAGTTAGCTTAAAATGGAACTGAAAAACACTGATCTCTTTCTTGTGACTAGCAGGGAAAAAGAGATAGAGGTGGAGTATATAAGCTTTAGTTTAGAATTACAATAAAATTAAGTCAGAAATAATTATAGGATTATTCCAAGGATAGATAAAGTGGACTGGGTGACCATGGGCCTCTCTATCCTAAGTAAAAGACAATGTCAAACCACTTCTGAAATCACACCAACAAAACTTCAGGGGCTACTCTAGGCAACTGCCAGGACTGACACTGACTTGAAGCCCCTGCCCCACCCCCACAAAAACTCTCCTCTCTTTCTCCCTTGAGAATTCTAGCCTTGATTATTCAAGGCTAGAACAATGAAATTGATTAGGACTAGATTCAAGCCATTCAAAACAAAATAGTGTTCAATTTGTAGAATTTCCTACACTGTCGTAATAAAATTGCCAGAGGATATTTACCCATGTAGCTGCATGAATCTCCATTTTAAAAGAAATGGATCACAGAATGTTCAAAAACAGTGCTGGCTTCCTAAAAGCTTCTTAGCAACTCTTGAAAGCTAAGATGCTGGATAAGATGAATGTTTCTCTTGTTTTAGCACAGCTTTGCTAATATTTTCACCCAAGTCATTAGATCAAAGTATGTGCGCACGCATGTCTTTGAGTCAGTACTGACTCCTCGCAACTGCCTGAACAAGTCCTTACAGTTTTCTTGTCAAGGTTCCAGAAGTGGCTTGCTGTTGCCTGCTTCCTAAAGCTGAGATAGTAACTGGCCCAAGGTCACCCAGTTGACTTCGTGCCTAAGGCAGGACTAGAATTCCTGGTCTCCCACAGTTCTAGCCTGCTGCCCTAACCACTACACCAAACTGGCTCTCGATACAACTTAATGAGATATCTTAGCATTAAAATAAAAGGAAATTAGGCAAAAGCAAAACAGCTTTTCCAACTCATGCAGTTAAATATTGTGAGAAAGGTTTTGACATACCAGACATGATGTTGACAAACACTCCTGATAATCAGGAGGATAGTAATTGCTCCTTTGCAGTTGGGCAACAAGGAAAAGCAGAGTTGGATATCACTAACATGTTGACCTAGAATCAATCAGTAGTATTCCATCAACGCTTTCACGACATGTCCTGACTGGAAGAATCAAAAGTACTACAAAATAGTGCACTCAAACCTCAATTGCGACAAATAGTCCAGAAAGTCCTCTTGGTCATTTCTTTTTTTTAAGAACAACTATCTGGTTTGTGGCATAATACAAACAACCAAATCATTCTCAGTATCACATTCTGGGAAAAGTCTAACTGAAATGAGGTGCAGATAACCAGTCTAGCATTATTGTCAAACTTGAGATGAATATGATCAATTTTACCTGCAAAGATTTATGAAAATTGCTTACAGTTTCTTCTTGTTTGGTTTTCTTCTCCCAATATTTGGATAGAGAAGATGCCACATAAAACACTGCTGTTCTGTTCTGTTCTGTACAGATACAATTCAGTGTAACCAAATAGGATTAGTATTAGTAGCAGCAGCAATTATAGCAGTGCAGTCAGTACCAGAGAAAATAGTAGGAGGGCCACTCAAATTATAAATTGAGTTATAAGTGACCTGAAGCAGTATGTCTTAATATTAAGCTAATATTCAGTATCAGAGGCTGTGTTCATAAAACACAATTATCCAGGTCAGTTGAAAATCTAATGAATGCCCACGCTGGAACTACTTATTATTAATCTTAGTTAAGATTATTGTTAATCTTAGGATTTTTGTGGCTCAACACATTGTATGAACTCAACTTATTTTGTTAGTTTACAGTTCAGTAAATTATACAAATATATATAATTGCAACCAGGTTAAACATATTGTAGAGAAAGGCATTGCAATATATTTGCAATGGAACTGATGCATATAACTCAATTTCATTTATCCTCCAAATCAGGGTAAGAGGAATGTGTGTATCTACAATAACAGGAAATAGGTTTGTTTTAAAAGTAGACAGAGGAAACAGAAATTTGTTTTTGCATCTGTAGGAAAACCAAAGCACTAAGAATTCTCTTAGGAATCTGATAAAAACAGCAGCTTGTTGGGATGTCTCTGCTTGAAAGTGCCTCTTATGCAATGTAGGTACACTCCATGTAATTAAACTTTATGTTATAGTGACTCTGAGCACTACTAAGAGTTGTCCAAGAATGGTGATACCATCCTATAGTTTCTTAATGACACCAATATTGGCTTTATTCAACTGGCACACACCAGTGGAACTTGCTAATTATTTCATCCATATGCTATGGTTCCTCTTCATCTTCCTACACTAAATTCCCCATACCTATGAATAGTTCACACAGATTGTCTCAAGCTCCATTGAACCATAAAGCCACATTATATTATAATTGATGCATGTCTGCTTAGAAGTAAATACAACTTAATTCAGTAACATTTACTCTCAAATATAAAATATTTGTAAAATATTTAAATATTTGTAAAATATTACAGCCTTCATCTTGTCTATACTGATATAATACAAAAGCTATTATTTGTAACAATAAAAGCCAAATCACTGCATAATTTATTTATCTTCCAAAACAGAAAATTATCTTAGCATACAAAATTATTCAAATAAATATTACATAAAATAGTAGAGCCAAATAACAAACAAAGAGAAAATAATGATGTCAGAGAAACTGACATCCTGTTAATTGATAGATAAAACCTTGTTTTACTTCTTTCAAATATTTACAGTTAGCATATCTTCCTGAAATTATTTGGTTTGGTGAGAAGTGAGTCATAGCAACCTTGTTTATAGGCCTAAAGCCAATGGCACGGAAGGCAACATAAGAGATCAGAAACCTAATTCTGTGATCTATCTGGCAATTCCCACACTATTGGAGGGAAGCACCAACCTTTCATCACCTTCCACAAATGCCTTTGGTGGGACAAAAACAAGCAGGAAATTGGATCTCCTTTGACTCATTCACAAAAGAAACCATGATTTTTCCAGGAACTTATAAAACACCAAGAGCTGCAATTCACAGGATTCAAGGGGATTTTGAACGGTTGGAGCAAGTGTCAGAAACATCAAATTTCAACTGGACAAATGCAAAGTCCTTAATTGGGGTAGGAAAAAAATAAAAATAGAGGATAGAGGAAACCAACACATTAGAAAAAGGTTTTATATTTGGTAATATAAGATGAATCTGAACCTACAGAACAGGGCTGTCAAACTCCTGGCCTGTGAGCCGGATGTGTCACACACTGGCCACGTCCATGCCCAATTTAGTAAAGGAGGGGGGAAAGCCCCGATATGTCACATGACAACAACGTGAGTTTGACACTCATGCTACAGAACGACACAGGCAGGCAGGCAGGCAGGCAGGAAGAAAATAAGAAAGAAAAGAGCAAATGTAGGCCTAGACTGCACTTGCTTAAATATAACAATATGATGAAGGTAAGTCATTGCTCCTCTCTGTTCTGCCTTGGTGAAATCATGCCTAGAATATCACCTCCAGGACACCACATTTTAGGAAGGATGTTTACAAATTAGGACCTATCTAGACAAGAATAACTAATATGATAAGAAGCCTGGAATGAAAACTTAAAAAATTGTGTGATAATTGGGTATGTTTAGCCTGGAGGAGAGAACAATGCAGAGAGATAGCTGCCTTCAAGTATCTGAAGGACTGTTACATAGAAGATGGGGCAACATTGTTCTGAATTGCTCCAGATGAAAGAACAATGATAGTTTAAGTAACAAGAATGCCAATTTGGATTGTACTCAGAAAATTCTCCTAATGGTACGGGCTGCCCCCGGAAGTGGAGACTTTAGTGAAGTGGTCTCCTTCACTAAAGACTGCAGTTAAGAATGATGTAGTAGTGGATTCCTACACTGAGTAGAGGTTGTACCTGGATCACACTGCAACAACTGCAATATATAAGAGCGTTTGTGTGAATTTTAACAACTACAGCAAAATACACTATTGATTATATAGTAACTCATGTGCATATATTACCCTGTTTTCCCCAAAATAAGATATCCCCTGATAATAAGCCCAATTGAGCTTTTGAGCGCATGGCAATAAGGCCAAGCGCTTATTTCAGGGTTCAAAAAAATATAAGACATAAGTGTTTTGGGGAAACACAGTATGATTAAAATAAAGTAAACATTAAAAAGTATAAGACAAGAAAAAAATAAGATAAATGTAGTTTTAATATAAAATTAATTGAATCCCTATACTTAACATTACATTTAGACCATATAGAAACTTGTTTTTTTATCTTCTTTTTTTCTAGAATATTATGACATTACAAAAACTGATGAAAAGCACATATCTTGGATGTATTATTCACCATCAGGAAGAATTGGAAGTTTCAATTTTTGCAAAAGTATTCTCGCTGTCGAGCCCAGGTTTGATAAAGCAAAAACTCCCTATAAAATGATGAATAACATATATTAGGAATACAATTTACTATCACACTTATATCTTTTAACTGTTATATTTTATGCCAGAATTAAAGATTGTACTTTGATTTGAAATCACAAAAAGTTCTGACCGGGTAAGATCATGTAAGTTGGAACCTTCACATTTCTTACAATGCCACAACAAAATTCTGTATGGTTAATAAGTAAATAATAAAAATTAAGACAATTATCTGGTCAAGCTAAAAAACCAACCTGATTTAGGAAGTGATTTTTGTCTTTTTGATGTTTTTGTCTATAATTGAGAATTGGAGATGTCAACCTTTCACTATCATCAATGAGTGCCTGTTTATATATATAGTTAAGGAACTTTAAAACCTACTGAATATGTAAACCATATTTGCACCTTTCAATGTTAACAGCAAAAACATTATAACACACCATTAAACACCAAGCTAAGCTTTTTTGGGATGGCATTGAAATGATGAACAGGTTATTCACAACAAACATATACAAGCTAAATCCACTGAAAAGGAAGTGAAAGTTTAACTTGATTTTCAAGTAGTGCTAATATTGCACAATAATCATCCGGAACTTAAACATAAAATATTTACATTACAACCTGGAGGAAACAAATGTTGAATGCAATTTGCGTAGGCTACTTTTGCTTATTCGCCTGTTACATAGTATTTAAAAGCCAAATATTGTATACAGTACAAATACTCATTTTTCAAATATAAAAAAAAATATCATTGTATACAAAGCTACATGCAGTTCACCCCATCTGCCTTTTAAGACCATAAAAAGAAAATTCCTTCCAGTTACTATTGGAGGATTAGATAGTTATAACTATTAATGGCAGTTTCATATCCATTCAGTTGGTTCAGTTTTAAGTTGTAGATGTGAATTTCTAATTATGAACTCATTTAGAACATGTCATTTAGAATAACAGAGTTGGAAGAGACCTTGGAGGTCTTCTAGTCCAACGCCTTGCTTAGGCAAGAAACCCTACACCACTTCAGACAAATGTTTATCCAACATCTTCTTTAAAAATTTCCAGCATTCACAACTTCTGGAGGCAAGTTGTTCACTGATTCATTGTTCTCACTATCAGGAAATTTCTCCTTAGTTCTAAGTTGCTTCTCTCCTTGATTAGTTTCCACCCATTGCTTCTTGTCCTACCCTCAGGTGCTTTGGAAAATAGCTTGACTCCCTCTTCTTTGTGGCAGCCCCTGAGATATTGGAACACTGCTATTATGTCTCCCCTAGTCCTTCTCTTCATTAAACTAGACATACCCAGTTCCTGCAACCATTCTTCATATGTTTTAGCCTCCAGTCCCCTAGTCATTTTTGTTGCTCTTCTCTGCACTCTTTCTAGAGTCTCTTTCCTTTACATGTTCATTTAGAAATGCTGCGATATTCCAAAGTTGAGGAGGCTTTGAATAAGATGTCCTCTGTGGGATCTACCCTACTGGATGCTACAACCTCCCAATTTATCCTCTTTTTCTTCTTTTTTTCTCTTACTTCTTTACAAGGTTATGAAGGTTTCTTCACCTTCCTTATCCCTACTTCCCTAATTCCACCAGACAGCAGACTTAGTATGTTTTTCCTCTGTGTTTTCCTTACATTTTTAACATAAGTTTTCCCAGCCTTTTGGAGCTGGAAAGCATGCCTGAAATTTTGAAAATAGTTGTGACAAAATGCATGATAGAAGGATTTCTCTTTTACAAAATCTTGCCATGGATAAAAAAAACAGTTACAACTCATACATTTACCAGAATACTATATCACATGTGATAAATCCAGTCATTCATTAACTTTACCAATAGTTAGATCTTACTAATGATTCTGGCAGCACTGTCAAACTAACTGGGTGAAAAGTCACAATCAGAATAAGGAGCCACATCCACATTCTCCTAGAAATGTCTAATATCACACAATCTGCTCTGACAGGGCTTAATTACAGCACTTGTGTGCAAGGGGGTGGGGGGGAAGCAGGGAAAGTCCATGAAATTCTGCTTGTTTTTTAGGCAGATGTCCTGTGTGGCATATATAAAAAAGAGCAAGGCTTTGATTGCATGGTTATGGCTGCCATTGTTCAGAGGTCCCTGCTCCACCATTGGCCAGAGAGATAGACATAAATGTAGTATAGATAGTATAGTATAGTATAGAATTCTTTATTGGCCAAGTGTGATTGGACACACAAGGGATTTGTCTTGTGCATACTTTCTCAGTGTACATAAAAGAAAAGATATATTCGTCAAGAATCATAAGGTACAACACTTAATGATAGTCATAGGGAACAATTAAGCAATCAAATCATATTAGGAAACAGTCAATATAAATCATAAGGATACCAGCAACAAGGTTACAGTCATAAGTGGGAGGAGATGGGTGATAGGAACGATGAGAAGATTAATAGTAATGCAGACTTAATAATTAGTAGCTTGGCCACTGCAGGCAACACTTGCTTTGGAAGTGTTCTGTGGTGCCAGATCTTGCCAGTTCTGAAAAAAGAGAACTTGCTTCTTATGACTGAACAAGGTTTGAAATACATCACAGACTATATCATAGATTAACACTGAGTACAGGAGTTGTGAAAGCCTTGGAAAAGATATTCAGATGCTGTGATGTAACTATATTTACAAAAACTGAAGAAATGGGATAGGAAGAGTATTGATGCTTTTGAACTTAGGTATTAAAGAAGACTCCTAAGAACATCATGGACAGCCAGTAAAACAAAACAACTGGATCACTGAACAAATCAATCTAGAATTCTCACTCAAAGCCCAGATGGCCAGATTCAAATTATCCTACTGTAGACATATTATGTGAATATCTAGGTCTCTAGCAAAATCTATAAAGTTGAAAAAAGTGGAAGGGAAGAGAAAAGACGGATAACCAACAGGCCAGTGGATGAGTTCAGTTACATCAACAGGCACATAAACAATTTACACACCATTCAAAAGAGATAATCAAAAAGCTAAAAATGAAACAAAAACCCAGAACACTTCCTTGCCAACAATCAAAACCCAAATAAGAGATAAAAACAGGATCAAGCTATAAACAATACCCCAATCAAGGATCTACCAACTCATACAAACAATCAAACAGTAAACAACAGCCTATTCAAGCCTATTCTTCTTCTACTACCAAGAAGAAAACAACATTTCCACCAACACTGACAGGCTGAGCCACTGCATATAAACAGAGAGCAAACCCTTCTCCTCTGTAGCACTGATGTTACCTGATAATGTAGCATTTGTAAGAATCAAGCTCAGAGAGTATCAAGGACTCCTCTGTTATAGTAATGATGAGTCCACTATTGGAAGACCTGAGAAACCATGTTAGAGACAGATCATCATGGTGAAAATTATGTAGCCAGGCCTAATTAACACCAACTTTATGGCATATAATCAGTCAATCAGTGGCATTTTCGGAATCTGGTTGACTAATAATTTAACCAAAACCAAACATGAGACAACTTCTGATTCAAATTAACTTTTTTCTTATCTGCTATTGATTGATTTAAGGTAAGGCTCAACATACCAACATTAACACCATTAAGAATTATGGAGAAAGAGGGCCTACCATTTTTTATAATCTGAAACACTCCATCCCCTGGTTACCTTTATACCTGTTACAAGTAAGCTGATATATATTAAAGTTCTAGAATATAACCACCAATTGGTTTTATTTTCTCATAAAGCTTGCAAATCCAATTGTTGAGAAATGACAGAATAATTTATGGAAACAATACAATGATAGACATTTTTTTGTGTGTGTGTCATCAAATTAGTTTTAAGTCCTGACAACTATATGGACTAGTCTTCATAGTTTTCTTGGCAAGATTTTGGAAGCGGTTTGCCATTGTCTACTTCCTAGGGCCGAGAGAAAATGACTGGCCCAAAGCCACCCTGATGACTTCACTTCCCCTAAGTCACGGTCACTAGAAGTCACGGTCTCCCCATTTCTAGCCTGATGCTTAACTACTTCACCAAACTTGACTAGACAGCACTACACAACAGAAAGACTGGACAAAGCAATTTTATTTTTTAAAAGGCTGTACTTACTGATAAATTTGGAAGGATTTTCATCTAGTTCTAATGGTACCATCAATGGAAAATGTGATTTTTAAATGTGTAAAAATACATCAATTACTGGAAATCATTATTTTATTTTAGCAACAGTTTGGGAATATAAACTCTTAAAACTAATTTTTGAAAATTAAATTTTCAAATTAATTTGAATTAATTTTCATGTAAATACAAGATTTTTCATATTTCTCAATTCAGGCTTTAATTGTCTTCTGTACAAACTTTCAAGATATTAAAGCATACCGACATGACTATTTTGTTCATCAGCTTATAGTCCTGAACTTTAGCTGAATCACATGATCCATATGCAGGTCTGACTGCAGCTCATGTCCCTAAGTCTGACTGCATTATAAGCCAACATCAATTTGTCATAACAAATGTTCTTGGATACATGTACATATTGACTCATTCTTGCATCTCCCTCCATAGAGAGTAATTTCCATTATTCATTTGGATGCAGTTTTAATTTTCAAATTCAGTCACAAAATCTATACATGGATCAAACAGATGAATTGCAAACATAAAAATGTGTGCAACATACTTTGGTAAGATATAATTAGTAGACCACTCTAAACAAAAACAAATGAAAATTTCATGGGTGTGCATATGTATGCACACAAAGTTATTACTAATTATTCTGGGAGCACAGTAATCAATTATAGATAATATGCAACATATGCAATACCATTTGTCTGAGAGAAACATGACCTCTCTCACATAAACCCAGAATGTGTGAACTTGATAAATCAAGTGAAATTTTCACTTGGAAATACACTGAATACAAAGAATTCTGATTTCAATTTGTTCATTGCCATCTACTTCAGTTGTTGAACTTATACTGCTGCTGTTTGGGGCACTAATATCACAACATAAAGCAGGAATCAGTTCTCAGCATCTAGAATTCAAAGGTAAGCAAATGACCTTTCTGCTTCTTTCTTTTCCGGGCTTTCAAAATACTGATACAGTGAATCACTCCAGCAATCATAAAATAGGTAGAAATGACTCATTTAATGCACCAACACAATCAGAAACACCTACAACAATAATTCAGCTGCAATATATCCTATAGTTCACTTTTAATGATATCAAAATGGGAGCGAAGTTTTTTTTAAAAAAACAACAACATGGAAACAATTAAAATCTAATCCATAACATAT